GAGGAAAAACAAGAACAGAGAGCCCAGTGTGGTCGATCCATTTTGTCTCTTTTAATGTTCTCCTTTCCCGTAAAAAGATGTTGTCCTCCGCGCGGTTTAAATATTGTCAATATTCTGTCTCCAATTTAAATGGTTTCAATTCTCTTTGACTACACAAGATGTAACTCAGAGCTCCAGAAGGCTCCAAGCAATTTATAAACACACAGATGGACACAGAGTGATGTTGAAATTCAAGTGAGTAGTTCCATTTGTTCAAAAAACAGTACCCCAGTTAATTTTGTGTTTTTAAAAAAGTTAATTAGGGGGGGAAGGTTTTCTAGGCTTTTGAATCCGTACAAACAGAATTTTTGTAATTAAATGACACAAATGGGATTATAGAATAGCACATATTTAAATTGTTTCTGTCTTTCTTTCTTTTTTGACTGGTAAAGTCAAACAAGAATTATTATTGAGCCTGCAATTATCGCAATAATTATTAATTATATTTTTGTATTATAACACCTGCATACATGCCTGCAGAATTCTAGGGGTTAGCCAAAAAGAAAAAGGCATGAGACAAAGATCATTTCTGAGCAGTTTTCATTCATTCTCAGCTCTGCAGGTCCTGTCAGATTGCAGCAGTGAAATAGATCAAAGTTAGGTTTTCTGAATTAATGCCTGGCTCCTCAGTCATCGTCCTCCGGGTCCAGACCTGCTGGGTTTCCATCAAACCACCTGGTTAACTGCATTCACCTGCTGTCCCACATGTGACTCATTCCTGAATACATCGACTCGCATGGAAACCAGCAGGGCCCCGAGTCCAGAAGATCAAAAACCACAGAACTAATTCCAAGGTCAGCATACAGTGAATAGTGTCTCTTAAACAAAATATGCAGACTGAAATTTAAGTAGACTTTTTACGATTTCTGCATTTCAACTCAATGTGGTTTTACAGAGTGTAAGGAACAGAAGCAGCATGGGAAAAGGGTAATGGACTCAAACTATTGAATGCCTCAAAGATGATGAAAGGAATGTGTTTTTAAAAAGTATTAAGAGGTAGAAATAGATACAAAAACACTTTAAGAACAGCAGGTTAAAGTCCTTAACCGCAAAGAGGGATGACACTTTTACAGAAAAATGTAAGGCACACTGAATGATGGTCGTAACATTTTAATTCTCCCAAAATGCCAATGAATGGTTCTGAAAAGGAGGTCTCCAGTCAGTGAGGAAAAGACAGCCTTGATACAAAAAGTGAGCTCGGGCAGATAATACTGTATTTCCTGAGAGCTGCACTGTTACCCAGACACAAGCTGCTCATTACTACCAGCCGTTACCATGGTAATCAATCCTCACTCTGCTGCTACCTATTTCCTCTCTCTGGTCTGCTTGTTGACAGACAGCCGTCCCCAAATCAATCCCAGGTTGCACTGCTGCAGCATCCATCACAACTTAACAACTTTTTTTTCTCTGTCTTACTTTCTGCCCACACCTCCTCTTCTGTCTGTCTCTCGTTCTCCTGCTTTCCTCTTCAACACAGTCTAACTTTCAGTTTTTCTCCATTTTCTCTGAACTCTGAATCCACCTGTCTTTTTGTCTCATTTCGTTTTTTCTGAAATCTAAGTTTCCCTCTTATCTCTTTCAAGTAAATAACTTTACAGGTATGCGTGTAGCTCACGATCCAAAAACAAAAAAAAAACTAATCTGAATGTAGGTTGAAAAGAGATGGGATGATTCATTTCTTTTGAGCTTTGCCTATACTCATTTTAGTTGTCCATGGTTTTCAGTGTATATTTAGTATTTTTAATAGACGAATCTGAGATTAAAACATCCATGTCATGTTTTTTTACTGTCACACTCAGAGGTAGTAGGCCTACATTTAATACCATCAGGACTGAAACATGTTCAATATAACATAATATGCAAATGTGTTCTTTTAAAGTTTCATTTTGACTTCTAGATACTTATGACTTATGACTCTTTCCATTATTAATTAGTGTGTTAAATATTTCCTCCAGTAATCCATTAGGACAATTCACAAAGTCTACGATTAAAACATAAGACAAAGTAGATAAACCAAAACCTTATATTTGAGAGGATGGAAAAAGATAATGTTAGTTATTGTTGATTTTCGATTCAATCATCAACTATTTCAGCTGTTCTGTACTCCTATAAAACACAACCATAAGACAGCTTGCTTGATATCATTAAAAGTTATACAACCTAATGAATTGTGTATCCTGAAAAAAAATTGCACTGCCTGCTGGGAGCCCAGGAAATAGAAACAAATGATGATAGATGGACGGTGACTGTCAGCCTAAGAGTGATCTCCACCTTAATGTCATGACAGGAACTTCAACTTAACCGTAACAGGTTTCAGGTTAATAAAGGGTGGAAACTACAGTCATTCTAATCACATCTGAAAGGGAACATGAAGGCAGTGTCACCCTTTGTTAGTAATTATATCTCAGACGTCGTGCGGGAAACTAATCCCAATGGAATAGAGCTTTTGTCTCTTTCTCTGTCTCTCTGTCTCTCTGTCTCCCCCCTCCCCACTTCAAGAACGCCAAATGAAGACCATATTAGCAGTGATGGATACTGTAGATAGATGATGTCATCCTTGCTCAAAAGTCTCATTGATGTTACTGCGACGATACTGATCATAATCACCGTGATTGATTACTACATCCTTCCAGGGGGAATGGGCATGTGTGTGTGTGTGTGTGTGTGTGTGTGTGTGTGTGTGTGTGTGTGTGTGTGTGTGTGTGTGTGTGTGTGTGTGTGTGTGTGTGTGTGTGTGTGTGTGTGTGTGTGTGTACAGTGAAGCAGTAAGAGGATTAAAAGAAAAAGAGAGGAGAGAGCAGGCATGGCAGGGAAGACGGATGGAGAGGTATGGGGTGAGTAAGAGAGGGGGACCTCAAAGATTTAGGGAGAGCGTATTCGTGAGGAAGCAAGTTTAAAGACAGAGAGGCGGCCAACAAGAGCATAAAGGCGTAAAGAGAACGAGAGAATGAAACAGAGAAAGAGACAGAGTTGTCCAGCACTCTATCACACCAAACAAGAGTAATGTTAAGGCCTTAAGGATCTTTCACACACTTGATGGATGGTTCTGTGTGTGTCCATGTGTGTGAGGAGGGAGAGAGAAAGAGGAGGAGGAGGAGGAGGAGTGTGTGTCAGTGTGTGTGCCATTGCTGCCTCCAGTGGCAAAGGCTTTGTACTGCACTGCAAATTCTTCAGTTAATTTCACACAAACATACACACACACTGCATATTATAGTCATCATATATCACAAGTTAATTTGTTTGAAATAATTATTAGTAAAATAGCATTGCAGTGAGAGAATATAACATGACACCACAATGTAGCAAAACAAAACATCTAAAAAAGTTGAACAAATATAAAAATGACACCAAAAGGTATAGTTATTCACAACTAAAGTTAATATATATATATATATATATATATGGTCCAACATAATGAAGAAAGCAGAAAAGCACATTTTCTTAACAGTTATATAACCAACCTGCTTTAATCATGGTTGCCACTTATGGCACATTTCCACTACAGCGCGGAGCGTGGTTTAAGCGTGCAGTGCCGGCCCGTTTTTGGTTGCGTTTCCACTAGGCGTAGTTCCGGCTAGCGGGAACTTTTTCACAGTTTTTCTGGCTCTCCAAAATCGAGGTTCTTTCCGGGCCAACAACCGGGCTGAATATGCTAAACTAGTGAGAGAATCGCTGGCAACTACAACAAAATGAACATATTTTACCGTGATTTAATTGTAATACACGTTTCAAAATGATGCCGAAGTAACAAAACCATGAATTAATGCTTTGACAAGTCTGCAGACAGACGGCAGGCGAAAAACCTTTTAAAATGGTGTTTTCTAAATGGAGATCGGCTAAGCTAACGCAGTATATGCTCCGACCATCCACACTCACAACAACGGCCTACACAGACATAAATAAACCATCGACTGTATTCGCCATGACACAGACAGTCTGTGGTTTGTA